GGGAGGGGAGGGAGGGGAGGGAGGGATGGACGGACACGGGGGAATACAGCACAGGTTTCGGGAAGCCTTAAAGCATTATGTAGATGCTTTAGGATGTAGGAGTTTGGGCTGTTGGCTGGGGGCTTCAAGCGCTAGGGGGTGAAGTCTTCTGGCTTCGGGAGCCCATACGCCCAGACTTTGGAGCTGCGGCGCCCTTCGTTGGCTGCGTCCAGTGCCTTTCCAGCTTTTCGACCCTAGCCCTAAGGCTTCCCGACAAAGACCCTCAACTGAAGCTCTTCGTGCTTTTGGAGTGTAGGGATTATGGCTTCGGTGCCTATAGACCCTACTACAGGTTGTCTCTTCACTTGGGCTTGAATCGAAGACTCCCTGGTTTTTTTTTGGATCGGTGACTACTCGTGGGTTACTTGGAAAGTCCGGTAGATAATCAGAGAAGCCTCCGGTCAGGTCAAAAAGACTTGACTTTCGGGCTCCAAGCTTCAGGGCTTGCACCGGCAAGAACAGGCACCCCCACGGAGACTGCAACAGGGAGCCGCTTGACAGCAATGCCGGCACTTTTTCCTCTAGAGTCTCTAGGGTGGGGGGTGCAGAAGTCTCGCCCTCGCAAGGTTTCTCATAGGAAGGCCTGCCTTGTCATCCTCGTTCTTGCTGTGGTAAATCTCAGCTATCAAGATGACCGAACCAGCCTGCGTCGAGACTCTCCCGTGAACCGTTTAGGCTGTTGGGGTTTGGGGGCTGGATTCCCACGCCGAGTCCAGGTCAGGGCTTGGGTGTCCAGTTTCTGGGTCTTCAACTCCACTGTCTACCCAAAGCCCCCTTCAAGGCAGGAACCGAGGCCGAGGGAGCAAAGATTTTGGGTTTCGGTTCAAACACCAGCTCTGCCTGCAGGGCTCCAGAATCCAGAAAAAAACAAAAGCCCTACACACCCTCATCGCACCGGGCGGCCGACACTCTATCGGGTCTTACAAGGTTTTAGGCTTGGGGGTTAGGGCGTAGGATCCAGGGGTTTTCAGCCCGAAAACCTAAACCGAACGGAGGCAATGAACTGCAAGCCCTTCAGGGAAGCCTCTCGGGCTCGCTCGTCCACCTGCTTGAAGATGTCCTGCGATTTTCCGGATCCCCAAACCCAACCCCGAGCTCGGAGTATGGCCGCGACCAAATTTCACAACATTGGCTTCAGAGCTTCAGGTACGAGGTTCTGGGTGTAAATGCTGGGTCGACGAGATTGCCACTGTAATTCAAAGTCAGCACAAAACTAGCCTGTGCTAAGCTACCACCAACTGAGAACCTCTCAATTGCGGCTTCTACGCGTCTTGTACGATTGGCATGGTTCTTGTAAGCCGCAGTTGCGGGGTTTTCGTCTGGGGCCTAAGCCAGGAGTCCAACAACTTGCCGTTTCAAAGGTGGGTTTTCGGGGTGAGGTCTCGAAATCCTTCTTTTTGAAAGCCTTCCACTGTTCAGAGAACCCGAGGGCGGCGAAGTTGAGTCCAAGGGGCCACGGCTTCTCGCGCGGCTTTCAATGCCTCGTCAGGCTTGACCTGGGAGGCATTTGGTTGAAACATCCAGCTGCCTACCTCAATGGAGAGGATGTTCACAGCCGCTACGTTGCTCGTCATCATTCCGATAATCATTTCTCGCCTGGCCTTAACAACACCGAAGTCTTCGTTATCATCAGAGATTCATCAGTTCCTCTTACTTGTATCTTTCTAGAGAGAAGCATTTGGGGGATGTCGAACGCTTGAAGCTCGGATGCTCCGGATGGACTCGAAAAGTGCACACTCTGTCAACATGGATACAGCATCATCTGATGTTCCCATGCATAACTAGAAGACGAGTGGCCCGAAAGCATCATTAGCCATGAGTTTTGGGGCCATGAGTGTCGGCTATAGAGAGTCTATAGAGAGTCTAAAGAGAGTGTCGTAGAGTCAAGTGTGGTAAAGTCAAGTGTCGTAGAGTCAAGTGTCGTAGAGTCAAGTGTGGTAGAGTCAAGTGTG